TGTGTGTGTGTGTGTGTGTGTGTTCTCTCTGTCTGTCTGTCTGTGTGTCTGTGTGTCTGTGTTACTCACGGGAGGGGCGGCGCGCTAGAAAAGGGGGGTGTCCACCCTGCCCCTGGGTAATTATAGAAGGGGGCCATGGCCCCTCGCTGAGACCCCGAGGACGTCTGTCTACGTGCCTGATGGGAAGTGAAGGGATCCTCACTCTCGCTGTCTGAGTCTTCGTACTCCTCTGATTCACTGTCGGCGACCATGAAAGAGAGAAAAAGAGCAAAAATATGACGATACCAAGCTACTGGATTCTGTTTTGAATTTAAAAAGACATCGAATTCTCTCATCTTGCAATCCTGAAGAACTTTAGAAGCATTTATGTCTTCTAGGCTGGAGTACTGTGATTCGTTATTAGCAGGATGTCCTACAAACTCCCTGAAAAACCTTTAGTTGATCAAAAAATGCTGCAGCGACAGTACTGACAGGGACTAGAAAGAGAGAGCATATTTCTCCCATATTGGCTTCTCCTCATTGACTCTCTGTTAAATCTAGAAAGGAATTTAAAATATTTCTCTCACATACAAGATCTTGAATAATCAGGCCCCATCTCATCTTAAAGACTTCATAGTACCGTGTCACTCTATTAGAGCACTTTGCTTTCAGCATGCAGGTTTACTTGTGGTTCCTGGAGTATTTAAAAGTTCAATGGGAGGCAGAGCCTTCAGCATTCAGGCCCCTGTTCTGTGGAACCAGCTCCCAGTTGGGATTCAGGAGACAGACCCGGTCTACTTTTAAGAACCCGTTTGTTACACTGTAACTGGTCATGACAGATGGTTCTTAAAAGGGAGTTTTTCCTTCCCACTGTCGCCAAGTCCTTTCTAACAGGGGGTTGTGTGACTGCTGGGGTTTTCTCTGTATCATTGTTCTTTACCTTACATTATAAAGCACCTCGAGGCAACTGATGCTGTAATTCGGTGCTTTATAAATAAAACTGAACTTAATGGAATTGTAATAGGTAATGCTCCAAATGGATTTCAAGTATTTAGAGAAAACCAGCTACCACTTCCACCATCCACCCACCCCTGCTCCTGTAGGCTTGCTAAGCACAAAAATACTAAACTGAACCTATCTGCACAAAAGTAAATAAATAAAAATCAGGTTTTATTTAGCAGGAGAATAAACTGCAAGATGTTTCATGCTTCAAATATCAAACAGCCATATCTGCTACAGAGAAACACTTCTAGAGGAAATGCATTACTAGGCAAAATAGGCAAAACTGAATGACAACACTGTGAATCAGACAAATGTAAATAACTTCTACTAAAGACCAGTTCTTAAAGACATAACAACAATGTCCTACTTTTACTTGTGCTCTCAGTGTCAGTATTTATACCCCACATTTCTATTGCGTTACACTGGAGACGTCCACTTTACTGTTTTTTTTTCTCACCTGGGGAAGCTCCTCCAGGCACCAGGTAGAGAGCAGAGGATGGCAGTGAAGGCCAGAGCAGAGAGAAAAGAGTAAAGGGAGAGGTAGAGCAATCCCTCCATCCCATCATAGCACAGGCCTTTCAGTGAGTCAATGTAGTCCTAAAATAAAATGGCAGAAAAATACAGAAATGAATAAATGAGAACAGAGCAGCACAGTAGCGAGCAGTGCCGAGTTCTTCTGATCACCTTATTCAGACCCCGGCAGTTCAGTAGTGCCACCAGCTGATGAAAGTTGCCCTCTGTTGAGTTGAGTATCTGTTGAACATCCCTGAGTGATTTCTGCAACAACATAGAAATTCCAGAATGTGAGAAAACCACCGAGGAGGCGGTCCACGTGCAGAAAATGTAGTATTTCATAAAAGTAAGTAGTGCACATACCTCAGCTTTGGGGAACTGTGTGAGAGCATTTCTGTCCAGACTGGAGAGATGTGTGTGAATGTTTGAGAGTGCCCTCTGTGACTGGGTCAGCAGCTAAAGCCAACAAGTCAATATAGTCAGTGGAAATCAGAGGTTTTATTTGGCATTGTTTCTCAAACATAACATTAATGTGCTGAGAGTGTAGCTACTTGTCGAGGGACTAAATAATTTAAGGACAGGACACGTAGCAACAGCTGTGCATCCTGTCCTCAGTTTTATTTTTCCCCTCCAACTGCCCTTCAGAAACTTTGACATACTATCTGCTCACTCCCTTTGAATCACTCTGGGTAAGAGAATCAGCAAATGCCTGCAAATGTAATACGCTGACTGGCAGAGGTGGCATTACCTGCTGGAATGGACTGTTCATGCGCCTGTTGCAGGTCAGGTAATAATCCAACACGTCTGGGTGGCCAACAAAACAGCAGTGTACAAAAGATCAATGCACAATAGGAAAAAATGTGGAAACAGTCATCTGTCATTATATTGGATTCTGCTAGCAAAAGCACATTTGGGGCAGGGGGTAAATCAAGTGCATGGCAGGCATGGAAAACAACTAGATTTTCCAGAAAGTGTTGCTCAGAGAGGGAATCTGTACCTGAGCTGGTCCCACTGTTGAAGTGGGTGGAGTTAAGGACAAACGCGTTTGGATCTGAGCAGAAGTCACTGAGAGCCTGGCGAGAGTGACGGGGAGAGTGAGAGAGGATGACAGGAGGATAGCGAGAGTGAGGAAGAGGTGAGGTGGAAGAGAAATGATCAGATAGGAAAACATTTGTAGACACAGTGACCAACTGACATACTTGTCTCTACAGATAACTGACAGCATCGGAAAACACAGCAGCAAATATCGACACCCCCCTCCTCCTCCCACGCTCTCCTCTTCTGCTGTTAGATCACTCTTTCATTTAGCTTCTTTTTTAATATCATCTGTGTTTTTGAGGTTGGCGCACTTCGGTTCAGAGAGTGTACTCCCACAAACTCTCTCAGCCTGAGATCGCCCGACCAGAAGAGGGTGCAAGAGCCACACAGGGAGTCTGCTGACGGAATGAGAAAGCGACGACGTTGGCCAGAATAAGGTTGAGAGGCCCACAGCTGGCCTATTGTTTCCCTGTCAGTGACCAGGGACAGAGCAGCCCTGTGTGGACCCACAGGCCTTGGGACATCTCCCGGCAGCCCCACATGACACTGAGACTCTTAAACTGAGCAGCCATGCAGAAAAACACCCACCCTTTACTCTTTTTTCACACGCACACCAACAAAGTCTCCTCTTCAAAGAGAATGGGCGCTTTTAAAAGAGAAATAGTTCATATGGACAGCCCTCTGTTTTGGACATAAAAATGCTCTTTATGCTCTTTGTTGCTGGTAAATGTCACCATCTAAAACTGTGGCTCGACTGCTGATGATAACAAATGGCACATTGATGCATTTTCTATACAAGTGGAAAGTAGACCTTCAGGCAAACACTGTCCATTTAAAACTTTATTTTACAGTACAAATTTTTTTGTATGCTCACTGTAAAGACTTGTGGAGCCAAATGCCTTCGCAAGTTGACGGTTTCCCCACTCTCTGTCTCTCTCTATCACTTACTTCGGCTTGCTCTCGCTCTAAAAGTGATCTCAAGATGCACTCTCCTGCTCCTCCTCTCCCCTCCTCACTCTTGTTGAAAGCACTTCTCTATCTACTACTTCTTGAAGACAACAACCCACACACTTGCAAACACACTTGCATGTAAAACACACACTTTGCTGCATAAACACACTTTGTTCGCAAACGCACTCGTGCACACGCACATTGAATCTTTAATCTCTGCCCCATTTTCCTGCCTCCTTGGTCCTCTGCAATGACTGCAGCGTTCCCTAGGAGGCAGGTCTTTTCACAGTTTAGCACAATAGGCACAGAATTCACACATAAGCACATATATGCACATTACTTTGGCTTGCCATCAGGGGTCGGCCTCCTAAAGCTCTCTTCTCTCCGCTATAGCCAGCCTGTATCGCAGTTTTACTGAGTCTACTCACCACCACAGTGGCTGTCTCCAAACCCAGGGAGCCCCAGCTTAGGAAGAGGGCCAGCCAAGCCAGCACTGTCATCCTGTGGATGGGGGAGGGGACAGAAACTCTTCAACCAAGAGGACACCCATTGCCATCAATCCAGTTTTTGTGTGGTATGTGTCTAAAGATACAAATGTGTGTGTACTCACAGGATGAGCAGCCAACGGGCTTGTTTGGCGAGTCCCAGCAGGATGAACAGACAAACTATGAGGTCAAGGAGCAGCAGCAACACATAAGACAGCCACCTACAACACACACACATATTACTGTGTGTTAATTACAATATCAATCCTTGCTTAACAGCAACTTGACCAAAATTTTACTTAAAGTCCAATCAACATTTTTCTAATATGGGATATCCATCTATCCATCCACCCATATCTACCCATTTATACATTCATGTACCTACATCTGTCTATTTATATATCAATCTATCATCTTTCCATCCATCCATCCATAGATTCACACCCTACCTATCTACCCATGATCCACCCATGTATTTTCTATCCATCTATATACCTTTCTACATGTCTGTGTAAGTACATATCCATCACCATTTATCATCAATCCATACTTGCATACAAGCTACTTAATAGAAAACATCACATCTTACTATCATAGCACAACTGCTATGTTGTGCCCATTAATCCCACAGTTTCTGAAAGCAAATTTCTGTTTTCTTAGATTTTTTTTAGTAGCAATTGCAATGTTTTTATGGATTTTGAATCCTCTGGCCATGATGATTTTGCCTCAACAATGGGGGGGATAAATGCGGCAGCAGTGTTTACAATAGTGTTTACAACTAGAAAAAAACCATGTGGAAATGTTTTTTTATCTTCCTGGTAAAGTAATTATGCTTTATGAACTTGTTTACTTGCGATGGAGCTAGTTGCATTTAATATCTAGTTTTTAATTTAAAAGTCCTGGTTTTACTGGGGACATGAATTATAAGATGATCAAGAAATAAATAAAAGTGATTTTCACTTTTATTTGACCAATTTTTGAGGGCGAAAGAAAAATGCTCTTTGAAAAATAAAATATAATAATTTAACCAATGTATGTGTCTTTTCCCCAAATCACCAACGGGCAGATCTGATCACATTTTGATTCTTCCGCCTGATCTTGGATAAACATTCAGTCACCAGCAATTGTTCCCAGAATCAAAACTGCTGCCTGTGTAAAATGAGTCAGGAGGAGCTTGAACTTTCCTTCCCCTCTCCCTGCAACAAGGGAACAATCTGCTTTGTTTATGAGGACATTATTATTACTTGACTGACACTATTTATCTAAGCTAGGTATACTTGTTAGCTTTTATTTATCAACTGAAATGTTTCCAATATGGAATATAAAAGCAGCCTGTCAACATAACATAACTGGGGGGAAAATGGCATTACATCAACAAGCACATCTTAATAAACATGCAACATTTATGAGGGGCTGGGGCAGGACGTCTGGCAGCCTCTCACAGCATCGTAGGAGTAAGAGTGTGGCTGTGTTTGCAGACAGCTTGTACATGTGGAAGTTTGTAAGGCAAAGAGGTTTTTGCAGAAATACATAAACACCTTCCGACCCTGACAAGGTAACCTGAAAGGTAGCTGTTAATTTCTATTTTTAAAGCACTGGGTATAAATCTCATGGGCTTTTCTAACTGTAACAAATAATTCTCTCATAAACAAGTAAAAAAAAAAACAAAAGCTCACATTGTCACATTATCTCAGGCTGTAAAAGCACTAGTTTGGTATTTGAACTGGTGTAAGAACTGCTTCTTTTCACCCCGTGAAAATGCTGCATGAATAATAGATCAGTCATTCAAACTGATAAACTGTATTATTAATTTATATTATCCTGAACTGTCCAGCCTTACCTGTAGTCCTCATTAACCATCAGTGTGTTGGCCGCCCAGCCAGGTGAGAAGGGGCTGGCCATTAAGCCGCTGTTAGGCACCACTGTAGGCGCCACAGAGGGCGGTACCGGGGTCAGAGGCGTGATGGACGCCCCGCTGATACCGCTGTCATTCCCCAGCCCAGTGTCAATGCTGGACCGAGCCAGGGAGATGGAGGAGAGGAGGTTGATGACGTTCTCAGATAACCTCCGGCAGTTCCGCGTCGAAACCAGGAAGGGTTTGCTGCCAGTAAATAACTCCTCCATCGAGGCCAGTGGTCCAGAGATAGACAGCTGAAGTCCAGTAATTGTGTCTGAAATCTTGAGGGAGGAAGGAGGAATGTGAGGGGAGTAAAGTAGGACTGAAACCACAAAGTGAGCTTGATGTTGCTCATAGGGTCATAAAATCCTGGTGTAGGAAACAGAGAGCTAAAGATGTTGGACATCCTCGGCGCCTCAGAATGGCTCTCATAGTCTATAATGCAAATTTACACTTATCAAACTTCTGAATACTTCACTACTTCTCATATGTGTTTGCTATCTTTATGTCTCTGTCTCCATATTTTAAGGTCTTTTCAGGACGGTTGTGGTTTTCATCCCGTTAGCAGTGATACGCTGCAGAAGTTGGAGTTTAATTTGGAGACCGTGCTGCTCTTTCATCATCCTTATCCTTACCTAATGTTTTTGGGACGTCATCTTGCTGTAGGGTGAACTGATGCCCCAGCCTTACTTTACAAAAGCACTACTTCCTGCAGTACAGTACTGCCCTAATAAAGAATGAAACATCACATCAACATAGTTTATCCCTAAAAGTCTTTGTGCAAAGGTTGAGGCAACTGTAGGAATAGTTTGCATTATATTTCTATTTTTTCAGCTTTGTTGAGTTTCTTTCTTTTATGCAGTTAGCCATGCTGTGTTGTATTGAACTATAAAATGCAATTTAATGTACTTATTAAAGTAATTTTGTTATAGGCTTTCAATTGAGCCAATATTTACAATGAATAGAGTATATCTTCTCTAATTCATGTGTAATATGCACAGATTTGCTGGCCTGTGCCATTTAGTAGTTTGACACATAAACCACTGTCTGACCGCAGAGATCAATGAAACAGAAGTTTGTATCTGATTTTCTTTCCCTCTCTGCAGACCTGATGAACAAATTCAGCCCATCTGTCTTCCTCTCTCTCACACTCTGTCTCTCTCCCTCTCACACACACAGTCATACAGGGTAGATACTTTGCATGACATTTTACTTGCAGAGAGCACCACTCACCAGCAGATCGATGGAAGCTAGCGTATAATTGGCTGTGAGAAGAGACGAGGTCAACTGATACATCCCATCATTAGCTTCACTGTTCCCATAGAAACCGATGCCTATGGCAACACTGCGTGAGAGAGGGAGAGGGCGGGGGGAGGAAACATGAAAACATTGTGGGAGGGTGACAGGGAGAGAGAAAGAGGGGGACAGGAGAACAGATAGCAGAGGCATAAATGTAATGTTTAATTCAGCATGGATGTACATTTTAAATGAATGTGACAGGAGGAGATAGAGCTGGTGAGGATGTCATATGTGCGCTCTGGGTGAGCATACCATCAGTGGTGAGCAAGGGAAGGAATAAACAGTTGATGGGAGAAAAAAGATGACTCACAGCATCGGCAAGGAAAATATTCAAAATGTAAAACATAGCGACGTGTTTACACATTTCTCTGTTATTCAAATATTCAGATTAAGGCCCAGGCCAGATGTTCATCAAATCCCCTCAAACCCAAGAGGAATGGTATGACCCAATCTCCCACAAAGTATGTGACCCAGATTAGAAAGCGGGG